TGTTCGTTTGCTGAAATTTTAAAAACTTTGAACATGAATTAATTCATTATAATCTGTGTGAGCTAAACAAACAAATGTCAGTGCTCTGGAGACTTCAGCTGGATAGTCAGTTGGAATATAGAGCTACAGTATAACTCGACATTGTCCTGCTTCTGCTGTGCTCAGGCTGCAGGGTTTGGGGGTGCGTCAAACTTGCACATGGAGACTCCTGTCCTAATGTAAGATAATCCAAGTAGGAACTCTCGTGTCCATATATTGTGCTCAAGAGAACAAAATTCACTGTTAGTATTAACTTAAAGTGGAGTTGTGCAACATCAGATGTGTCTTTTGTTTTGATTTTTGAGAGTTTTAATTTGTTGAGAGTAAAAATTCCTGGAAAGGGATTTTAGCAGTTAATGAAAAAAAAAAATCATACTGATACTTCTTCATAACCAGGAGGTTTATGTTTTTTGATTGTTGTAGCAGACTTTTTTCCTTACAACAGGAAAACAGCTGGTCTTAGCATCAGTCATGCTGGATGGTTTCAAGAAATATGGGCTAGCATCGTACGAAACTTCTGATTCCCTGTCTTTTTTTTTGTTTTTTTGTTTTTTTACTGGGTAGTATAAACTCATGTTCACATTACAGAAAATAAACAAATCTGTCCACATGTTCACTCAGTGGATTGGTAACCATGTTGAGTTACACCATAAACAGAGCACATGTTGCCAATCTGTCCGTTTCTCTCTCACTTTGATTGAAATTCACACAGACTGTCTTTTATGTCATTTTTCACACGTACATTTTTCAGCTTGAATACACAAAAATCAAACTCAACGCGCCAAATAAACGCAGCATGAATCAATTTCCAAGTGATGGCATGTCTGACAGAATTAACATTTCTGAAAAGTAATCATCCTCCCCTTCGGCTGAAATCAATACACATCTCATGTAAGCATGTCAGTGTGCTGTTTCCAGCCCCATGCCTCTGTAAGTACCTGTGCATCTGAGCGGATCAGAGGAGCTGCGGCGCGTGAATAGCTTTGCATACATTTACAAAGAGGAGATAGAAATCATGTGAAGCTACACCCACATAAGCACGTCTGTTTAGTGTGATTCCTTTCTGGCATGACGGTTTCTTGACTAGTGAAAGCAGAGTCCTTTGGGATGGTTTCCAAAATACAACAGAAACGGAGGTGATCCAGTCAGACTGTGCTCTGAGGTTCTGTTGAGCAAAAACTGCTGCAGAGTAACAGCTCACTGTTATCTTGTTTTCCTGTCGGGAACCAATCGTTCGTTTTGTGTTTTGTACTGTTTTGCTTCTGGCTGTCAGTATAACTTTCTCTCTAGAAGTGTTCTTAGATCCACACCAAGAGTGTGTACAAAGAAAAGCAACACTCTGTGTGTAACATACTGTACAGTGAATCGCACATATGATGCAATATGCCTGAAACAAGCTAAATGTAGGATATAGTGATGCAACGGTTTGTGTAAATATAGCCCAGTAAGGTTTGCAGAGTCAGTCGTATTTTTTTTTTTTTTTTTGGTTTTACATTGTCTGAAATAAGTGAGTGGATAGAGGTTACTGTAACATAATTAATAAAATAGTTGCCATAACACTGAAAAAAACATGGTGTGAAACTCCTGGAAGAAGAAAGTTTAGGATGAAAACATGCATAATCTGATACAGTTCATGGAAATACTACACCACTGCTCTGTTCTGATGTAATGATCTGTAAAAAGATTAAAACGATCATTTCTGATGAAATTCAAAAAATGTAATTGTCTTAAATTATGTATCTGAATAATTTTTAAAAATCTGAAAAGAGTCCATTTTACTTTGTACTGTACTTTTGTACTTTACTGGCCTACAAGAGTAGCAGATCTGATCATTAGGACTCAGTTTGCACCTTACCGTCACATTCCTGACCTCTCCTGCAAAGACGGGTGCATACCTCCAAGCCTCTACAGACGCCTGTATCTGGGCCACCCTCTCAATTAAGCTTCCTCCTTCCATAAAGTCACAAACACATCCCATGAGTTAGGTCATAAAGTTGTTTTTTTTTTTGTTCCCTTCCACTCATCACGTGTTTAATTGAAGAACTTAAAGTAACACCAGTAACAGTCTATAGTTTGATCAGGATCAGTGATGATATTACAGCAACAGTAACGCATCACAGCTCTGTATTACAGACAAATGTTATCCCACTACAGAAAAGTGTTACTGCATTGTTCTGTTTTCAGTTTTTCATTTATACTGCAATACATGATGAAATATATTGCTTAGATTGTACCCATAGCCTGTATACAGAATGGATGCCTTCTGCCTCCTCGCTGGGTGAAGCCACCACGATAGCAGCACCCTCTGGTGACGGGATGCAGTATAGGTCGTAAATTCCGCCTCCTCTAGCAAAGCTTATGGTGCTGTGGACAAACTTTAGAAATTTATTACACAGAATGTAATTTTTTCTCCCCCCTGCTTGTGATGTTGACATATAGTTACTGTAAGACTGGTTTGTGCTCAAGTCCTCTTTTTTTCTGTACAGCTCTGTTTTTAAAAGTTATTAGGGGGTTCATGTTTTTTATGATTGACACTTGATACAGCCTATGGGCGTACGAAGGCTGAGTAGCTCACCCGGGGGATACGCTGTTTGAGACGAGCGTCATCACAACGGCTCTCTGTGTGCCCCACCAAATGTGTGCAATGCTACTGCACAATGCTGGTTTCAGGAAGTGGAGAAAAAACCCGGGAATACCGAAAGATTTTTGGCTTCAAAGCTGTATACTAGTGGAGGGTGGAACCAAGTTGTCCTTAGTATATACAGTCTATGGTTGTATCATTGATTGTACACCATTTTTCACAATGCATTGTGGTAAACAATGAGTCCACTATAAGGGGTACACTGGTCTTCACTCAAATTTCAGACAGCACTAAAGGAACAGTTCACTCTTTGCCTTATTATAGAGTAAACAGAGAGTGATTAGATTGCATAATGTCCTGGCTGGTCGATATCAGACACTTTTCCGTCTGGTCAGGAGCAGCGTATTGGGCTAAAAGTTGGACTTAAAGTCTACTGTGCACTGGTCTTAGTCTGGCTTGAAATGCTGGATTTTACAGGCCTGTCTTAAATTAAACTGTGTACCAGCACAAGTTATTGTAGATAATCAGATGACAAGTTGCTAAGGACTCATTGACCTATCAGTCATGGTTATTTATCTGCATGTTCTCAGAGATCTAACACAACTTCCTAAATATGAAGACTTGATTTTCTATTGTAGCAATGACATTTTAAGTGACTCGTACTACGGATCAGAGAGACAAACACTGTAACAGCTAAAATGAGGACATGAGATGGATGGGTATATCCCTCAAATATTCCTGAAGCACATTTCTAAAGATGAAATACTGAACGCTCTTGCACTCGTAACAGTAGCAGTTCTCTGTGAGCAGAACCATTTTTCAATTTCCAGCTGAGTGACTCATACTTTTTGACAGCTGCTTTATGAAGCGCTGTGAAAATGTGAAACTGCCTTGATCGACGTAAAGCCTTCAAACTATCAATGTCACAGACATCTGACAGTCCTAACCTTTTGTTGGCTCACAGAATGTCATGTAATTGTGGGTAAAATTATTAAGAGACGGGTTCAGTCATTACTTATATGACTGCGTTTTACAGTGGGGACAGCATGTTTGAGGGGAGCTCAACTGAGTCTAAATTATTAACAGGTCTCTGGTAGCATCACGGCATGTGTTAAAAATGTTTAAAGGCTGGAGCTGCAGAGGGAAATGTGCAAAATCTATGAAACTGCTTGAAACATCCATTAGGTCTGCAGACTACAAGTTTGGAGATGTAATAATAATATGGGTCCGGAGTTATACAGAACTTAGCTTGCTTAATCTCACAAGTGCTTTTTAATTTTTTTTGCATGAGGCCAGCAGCTCAAGACTACATTAGCTGCTGCTAGCATAACATGTCAGCATATTAAATCTAAACGCTGATGAGACAGTTTTGTTCCCTCTTTGGAAGAGCCAGTTGGGTTGTACCTTGAGATCCAGTCCATGAAAATCACAAACAGAAATCGGTGACAAAGGGCAACTCTGACGGAGTCCAACATGCACTGGCCATGTTCTGCAGAAACTATATCTAGACAGAGTTAGGAATTTGAATCTCCGGAAAGAGCTGAGGAAAAGTCCCAGACAAGTCAATGCACCCAATTCAGCAGTGAAAAAAAAAGTAAACTGTAATGTCATAGATGATTGTTGCAAAATCTCCTCATAAAACCCATGGAGACAACTGAGCACAACAAGTAGAAAGACAAATATCATAATCTGTTCTTTAGTACTTGATAAACCTATTGTATTTAATGGTATGAGGAACATTATTGGTATTCTTGGGGTCATGGTGTAAACTGTCTCCTCAGGGTTGACATCTGGAGACAGGAGAAGCTGCAGAATTTAGTTTGGATCATTTTCACCCATATCAAAATCTTCACAACCCTTTTGGTGCTTCAAAACATTGGTGTTTAAAATGTTCCTCTTCCCTGTTACTGAAGTCTTTCTTCTGATTTAGCCTTTATTTAAAACATACACTGAGGATGTCATTGCTTGGATTGTCTACATTTACCATCAAGACTGAATGGACATCCACATAAAACAGAAAAAATCCACTTAAAATACAACAGTGCATCTGACATATGTTGCGATCTGCATTACAGTGTTGGAAAAAAGTTTGGAATATTTTCTTCTGTGTTTCTATTCCTTAAGAGTATGCTTATTTTGCGCGGCTCACGGGAGTTTAGAGAAGCGTGTCTTAGCTCAAAATGTAGCTGAGATAATCCCCTTTCAGCGGGCATACAGAATTAGTGTCTGCTCCGTCAGAGAAAAAAAACATGAGCCTGATTACATGACACTCCCATTTTTGACCAACAAATCAGCGTCCACCACAATGGTTAAAAAAGGGTGTCCACCTGTTTCCTGTGTCCCATTGCTCCTGATCTTTTTAGACAAGGTTCCTGTGACTATGAGACGTCAACTGAGTGCCGCAATCTGCAACCGCATCGTGGGCATGCGCCAAGCTGGAGCCAAACAGAATGCCATAGCCACTGCTCTGGGAATTACGCAGGGCGCAGTGTCCAAGATCCTGAAGCGACATCGACAGACAGGTGTGCCAACGCCTAGACCCAGGTCTGGACGTCCCCGAAAAACCACAGTGAGGGAGGATCGTTATCTGCACAGGCTGTCTCATACTGGGCGTACAAAGACTTCCACCCAGCTGCGTAATGAATGGATGCGATTCACAAATACTCCTGTCACGAGCCGGTTGGTACGCTACAGACTGTTGAACGTGGGTTATTTTGCGAGGAGACCAGTATGGAAACCTCTCCTGCAACGACGACACCGCCAAGCCCGCTTAGGCTGGGCACATGACCACCTGAACTGGCAGGATGGACATTGGCGACACGTGGTGTTCAGTGACGAGTCTCGTTTCCTCCTTTACCGACACGATGGCCGCGTGAGGGTTCGCCGTCAGGCTCATGAGTCTCTGGCCGAAGGTTGTGTATTGCCCAGAGTGCAAGCTGGGGGCGGCGGGGTAACCGTTTGGGGTGCATTCCACAGTACCGCTAAATGCGACTTGCATGTCCTGGATGGTAACATGAACCAACACCGCTATTGCCGGATTCTGGAAACCAAAATGCTCCCATTTGCTAGACAGCACTTCGGGGCAAACTTTGTGTACCGAGATGACAACACCCCGCCTCACAGGACCCAGCTGATACGCGATTTTCTGGATCAAGAGGATGTGGAACACATGGAGTGGCCAGCCATGTCCCCAGATATGAACCCGATCGAGAACCTGTGGGCTGAAGTTTCACGTGGGCTGAATAACATGAATGAGCCTCCAACAAACGTGGCTGAACTGACTAAGGCTGTGATCCAATGCTGGCGAGAAATCCCGGTAGAAACTCTGACCAACCTAGTGACCAGCATGCCCAGACGTGTACGGGCATTGTACAACGCTAGAGGCGGTCACACAAAGTACTGACTGTTTTTTTGTTATTGTCTTGTTATGTTTGATATTGCTTTCAAAGATGGTCCACATATTTTGTTGCAATTTAAAATTACAGCCGTTTATTTATGAAATACCGACTCATGTTTTCATGCGTTATTTCTATGGCTTTTTGTGAATCATGAGGTGTCCGCCCTACAATTTTTTGAGAAACAAAATAGTTTGATGTGAATTTCAAAAACATATCACAGAGACCAGGGAACATTAAAAAGTCTTAAGAATAATTCTCCAGAAAGCAGCAGACCGCGTTAAACACGAGGCTGGGGTTGAATTGAGAAATATTCCAAACTTTTTTCCAACACTGTAATCTTGTCTAGTCATTTTTCTTTTTTCTTTTTCTTTTTTTTTTAATTTTTTTTGAGGTATTGAAATTATCGATCACTTTGGAAGCTAGAGTCACTGATCAAAGAATTTCAGACAGGGATCTTTTTTGTGCTCTTGTCTTAAAAGATGAATATTTTTTACTCTTGATGAGGAGGTTTGTAGTTGTATCATTTAATTAGTCTATTTTGGTTGCACAGCAGTTTTGTTCAGTAGTCGAAAAAGTCCTCTGCAGCTTTCATACCAAGGCCAAGTGAAGCCCACTAATTAATCCTAATGCTCTCAGTATATAATTTGTGTAGTACAGTATTATTTAATAGGCCAAGGCATTTGTGCTGCCTGGCTTTAACAGGACCAGACTGCAGAGCCAACTGTTCCAATGAGGCCATCCAATCCACACAGAGGTAATGAACCTCAAAACTGATCCAATTCTGCTAATGGCTTTGACTGACCCTGGGCATAATGTGTTGTTGCTTGTTTAATGGCATATTCAGAAGCTTGCATTGGGATTTGATTTTCAGATCAGGTCCTGAGTGAATCATTAGGGTTGATAGGGACACAGAGAGAAGGAGGAGGAGGCTGTAAAAGCTTTAAAGGCCCCAGGCAGACGGCTATCAGTCTTTCACTGAGAGCTCATGCATACTAAACATCTGCACAGCTCGAGCAGAGGCATCTGAAGCATATGGCTCTGACAGCATCACCCTGTTAATATTAAGCTGATGTTCACTGCCAACGAGCTGATCTCTGTCAAATCGCTGCAGACTTTGAGGAGAGGATGAAGTCAGTGATAATGGTACTAAGGAGCAGGACTCAAATGACCTGAAGATCAGTGACAGAGGGAAAATGTTGTCATGTTACACACAGTTAACAAATGGCTCTGTGTGCAGCAGTGCACAACCAAGTTTTCATGCTGGTACTCAGGCTGGTTCCGCAGTAAAAGAGACTGTCCTCTCCTGGGTAATGCACTTACTATAAGCAATGAGAGGAGCAAGAAATAGCAAGAGCCTCATGCCAGCCCACTCCAGAAAAACAAACACCTGTCACGGTGAGAAGAGAAGGAAGGAAGGAAGGAAGGAAGGAAGGAAGGAAGGCAGACAGACAGACAGAAAGAAAGAAAGAGAGAAAGAAAGAACAAAAGAAAAAAGGAAGAAAGAAAGAAAGAAAGAAAGAAAGAAAGAAAAAAACTGATATGTTAAACAGGTCTCCCTCCTCACTGATCTGGACACTGTTTTTAGTGTTGCCAGCTGCAGACATTAGAATAAATCTGTTGTTGGAAGGGAGCCTCTAGCAGCTGGGTTGCTGTATGGATCAATATGCCAATATTACTGTATTTAAACCCAACCAGTCAGTCTTTAATAATTTGGTTGTTGCAGGTTTCAGATTCATGTCACATATGCTCTGCTCCCTGGGTTACAGTATATACAAGCACAGATGACAGATGGCATCTTGTAGTGTGATATGTATTGTCAGTATTTTCATAGAGTGGAGTGGAAAGTAAACCAAAGTGGTTATATGTTGAGTCTAGTTGGACTGCCAATCACTTAAACTAAGAAATGCATATACAAGACAGGTATGTTGATGTTAACCTGCAGGAATTACCAGTCTTGCTGTGCTAGCTCTGCTGTATTTATGGTTTAAGATGGGTGTTCTACCTGTTGACAAACACAGTTTCATTTTGTCCAGTTTGTGTTAAAGCAGACTGCCTAAATATTTCAAATTTTTATGAGCAATGCTTTTTCAATATTTGGTTTTATCGTAGTTATGAATGTTTTCTTTAAAAACACACTGTAAACATACCCGAGCAACGTAATGCAGTGAGATGCATGGCTCACCAGTTAACATATATTTATGGAGCCCCTGAGGCCAGGCCAAGACAAGATAGTCATTTTCACACTCCAGCACATGCATTTGTAATCTGTGCACACATTTTGTTATACATAATCATACATTTGCATGTGGCTGTGATTTTTTCTTGACCTGGCACCTGTGGTTAAATATGTGTTAAATATAGAGGCCTAACTTTTTATCCATAAGAGACACAGGGTTACCCACTAATGCTGCAGCACACGACTCCACTGACCCACCACACACCATGACAGCAGGCTTACAATGATGCCTACGCAGCAGCTCTGACTGTTACAGTGTACTAAAATAAAAATAAAACTTTTCCCACTCCACCTAAAATAACTTTAGTCTCTGTACCTGAAACTCTTTCCTTTATCTTTTGCTCTTTTTTCTTTGCCATGCTAGTCAGTCCACATAAAGCACAGCTCCACACCTCCATATATGGTAGCCATTGGCTATTTACTGGCTGTGATGTATGCTAATTGCTAGCCAGCAGGAGCCTACTGATGACTTATGATTAATTGACACTCATGAACATACATGATCAGATGATCAAATCAGAGTTTCTGCAGTGTTCATGGATCTGGTGTAGTAGACTTTAATGTGCAAACACACGCTGATTTACTCAGGTATCTGTCATTGCTAAAGTTATTCTTTACACATTTCCAAAGTTTTCATCCAGCCATGCTGTTGCTGAACTGCTCCATATGCAGTGACATATCTTCGGATGAAAATGGCAGAAAAAGTACAGCTGAATTTGGAAATCCTAAACAGAGGATTTAAAGTTTTGACTGTTGGGTCCAGCCCTGAAAAGATCTTGGGCATTTTGCCACAGAAAAACAAGATTTGGTGTTTGATTCAAGTTTTTTCACTTGTTCTTGCTGCAGAATGAAGTTTTGTTTGCAGCTGCAGAGGCACACAACTCCCTGAGATCACAATGAGGATGGGGAATATTATTGATTTGTTGTTGCTAAAGGGAGCAATTCATGAATTATTGATATGGTCTCCTGTCTGGTTTCTATTTGCATTTTCCTTGTCTTTTAATGAGATGGTCAGGCTTTCCTCCTGGTAGATTGCTGATGTATCAATCTTTACTTTCAGCATATAAGCAATTTGTCTTGATCACTTTAATTTCAGAACTCTTAAATTGACATTTTGGGTTTGCATTACAGAGCTGGAGTTTACCTGAAGCAATGGAGAAAAAAGCAAAGGAAGAAGTAACCCAAAGCGATGAAGATGAAAATAAATCACCAGCACAGCGCCTGAGGCTCAGATCACAACCGTGCCTTGCTTAAACGTGCAAAGATGAATAGTTGGCTTTCGCTCACCTGGCTCCCACCTTAGGGAACTATTTGCAGAAGAATCTTTCTCCATTTCCCGGGTTATCTCCTAGAGCATCAACACAGCGCTGCACTCCTAATTTATTCACATCTCAGGCACAGTCCTCATCATCTCCAGGGGGAGACGATGGGGCCCATAAACCCACCTGCCTTCCTGCCAGCCTCCCCAGAAACACATTAAAGAGCTCACAGTTTAAATCTCCTTCCAGGAGATCACTCAGAGCTCCCTGTCGACTTCTCTGAAGCTTCACACAGATCCAGGTGCCGCAAGGCTTTTACCCACAAATACAGCACCCAGCCCGATGAATGAATGAACAGCTGAGAGAGGAATGAGCGGAGACAGAGAGAAAGAAAAACACGCTGCTATCACTGTAAATAAATCCTCCTCGCTGCTTGAACGAGGACACAAAGAGACAGTCTTCCTCTGCTGATTCGCTTTCTGGAGCTGAAACTCTTGTGTGTTTTCAGGTATATGAAGCACAAGTTGTTCTTTCTGCAATATTTCACCTCATTACCCATAAACACTCAGTGTGAATGTGGGTGACTCTGCCTGTCAGATTAACAGACAGCTACACTTAAGATAACAACCTTAAAGTGAGTGAGCAATGGTTTTACAAACAGCAAAATGTGTCAAGTCGATGATTTAAGCTCTACGTGATGACATCTATTCACAGATCCTCCTACTGTAAGTCAAACAGCATGTCAAAACAAATCAAAACAACCACATACACAGATTTCATGCATACAGAGTGAAACCATCAGCAGCTGAGGTGTCTTAAAAGCATGTGTGTGTCAGGTGTTGCAATGCACCACACACTGCATCTGACACATATACATCTTTTTTTTTTTAAATGAAGTGCATTTATTAATTTTCATAAAGGAGAAAAAAAGAAAAAAAACGCACTGCAACAAATTATGCAGGTGCAAAACAAAACCATCATGGTAAAGCTCATCTTCAATAAGGTAATCAGATAAACATAAAAACATAACACAGCAGTTACAACAAAAATATAGATCTGCTGCCTCATGAAAACAAACCACATTGCAGCAAGCTGCACACAGGAGACCAGCTGGATGAGGGGTATATTCTAACTATCTGTATTTATAAAAATATTTTTAATGCCCTACTTTTTGCAGTTTTAAACCCATGTATAAACACAAAGTTTAACTAGAAAAGCACTCAGAGAGCGCAGACCTCCGCCAAGCAGCTCATGTCCCCCCTTATATTGTGATTCACATCAAAACTTTTACTGTTACGTGTCTTTTATTAACTTTTATTTGTGTTTAAACTGGTATGTTCACTGTTCATAATGTTCCTAAAACAACAAAGCTCATATTAGATACATAAATGCATGATTTATTATGCAATATTTGTAAGCGTACACTTCCTTGAATCTTCATTGTTGGTTATCTTTCAGCATTGAAAATTCCAACGACACCCTTATTTTTGTGTGTTCTGGATCACAGTAT